GCACAGTGGCCCAATGCTCAGGTAAAACCTGAAGAAAATGAGCAGGCCTCAGTATCAATCTGTTCCAAGGCTTTGGGATCACATCACAAAAGAGGTGGAAAAAACAAAAATTATTGTCTTCAAAGTTTCTTTTTAGAATGACTCAGACTAAGCTTTAATATAGTAAATGAAATGAAAAAACAATTTTGTTTTGTTTTGTTTTGTTTTTGAGGGAGTTCTTGTGTAGTCCAGGCTGGTCTTGAAGTCAGTAGGCCACAGAGGATGAGAAGGAACTCATGATCCTTTTGCCTCAACTTCCCAGTTGTCGAGATTACAGTTGTGTGCCAATAGGCTTAGCTTGTGGTAATAAAATCTAATTCATATTTCCCAAAGAATGAAATTATAGGTCAATCATAAAATTGCTATCTCAGGCTTTCATAGAGAGCAAAATCTGACATAACAGTGTATACAAGCCCCGACAGCAACATATATGGGAAGGGGAGTCTTTAAATTCAATGAGTTTTGTGGGGTAGAGAGACTGGTCAGTGGTTAAGAACACTTACTGCTCTTATAGAAAACCCAGGTTCATTTCTCAGACTCACATGGTGCTTTAAAACTATATGCTATTTCAGTTACATGAGATATAATGCCCTCTTCTGACCTCTGCAGGAACCACACACACAAGAGGCACACGGACATGCATGCAAGGAAAACACTCATACACATGAAATGAAACAAATGAATCTAACTGTTTTTAAATCAATTTCAGCAGGGTTTGATGACACATGCCTATAGCCCTAGGAGGAAATGTGGTAGAATTAAGAGCTTGATAAGAGGCTATATAAGGTGGCCTAGTCAGGCTAAGCTACATCCAAAGTCTTGTGTTAAACAAGTAAACAAGGGAGGCTGGAGAGATGGCTCAGTGGTTAAGAGCAATGACTGCTCTTTCAGAGGACCTGGTCTTCCAGAGGACCTGCGTTCAATTCCCAGCACCCACATGGCAGCTCACAACTATCTGTAACTCCAAGATCTGACAACCTCACACAGACATTCATAAAGGCAAAACACCAATGCAAACAAAATTAATTTAAAAACAAAACAAAACAAAAAAACAAGTAAACAAAATATAAAAGTGTTTGCTGAGGGTGTTACTTAGATGACCTGGGTTCGACCCCTATGAATTAATCCAGCCCCCCAAAGCCAATAAATGTCTATCCCATGTTTATAGCTGAGTTGTACTTGTTGCCCTCTGACATAGAGCATTGTTTACATTTCTGGTTTCTATGACAACACCCTCAGGGCAGAGTCCATCATGGCAGGGATAGAAATGTGGTCAGAGGACCTCTAGTTATGAAAAATGGCGTGGGAGGTGACAGGTCCGACTGTGTGCAAATTAAGGAAGCTGACAGAAGTGGATGCTAGTTTTCTGGTACCCTTCCCCTGTTTATTCAGCCCAGAACACCAGATCATGGGGTAAAGACCCCATATCAGGGTGGATCTTCCCTCATAGCTAAAATTTGTAGAAAATTTCTCACTGACCAGAACAGAGATGTGTTTCCTAGAAACTTCTAAGCATAATCATCACCTTATCAGTTTCAGTAAGTTATTCTTAAATTGTTAATTTCCCTCCTTCTGTTGCAGTCTCATGGGTCAGTGTTATAAACCTAGGGTGGCATCTTCACCCACCACCTTTGTATGTTGAAGGCCTAATGTGGAAATGGGGCCATTAAGGGGGTGAGCAAGGGTTAACAAAGTCCTAAGGGTGAAACATCACAGTACTAGTGTCCTTATGAGGTGACATGCCAGACTGCATGCTTCCTCTGTCCTTATGAGCACATGGCCATGGGAGAACAGAAAGACTGGCAGCTGAGTAGAGAAGCCCCTGAAAAAAGGAAAACACCAGTGGGTGAGATGCACAGAGACTGAGGCTGGCCACCTTATGTCGTTCAGCCTGATATAACAAAGTGACACAAGCTTGGTGGGTTATGAATAATAGACCTTATTTTCTTGCAGTGTAGAGGGCAGATGTGCAAAATAAAGATGCCATCATGCTCAGGATCTAGTGACAATCATCTTTTCTTTGAAGATTGCCAGTGTCTCACTGTGACATGATGTGGTATAGCGTGAGCTTAGCTGTCTGGAGCACCTTTTATCAGAATGCTGGGTCCATTTAGATGACTCTACCTTCGTGACCTACTAACCTCCCAAAGGCCTCATTACCATAGGAGTGAGGAATTACAACATGACTTTTGAAAGGAAAGAAGCATTGGAACATAGTGATTCTGCTGTAACCATAAAAACCCCACCTCACTGGAAATATGTGGGTGTCTAATAGGAAGAGAGGACCACAACTCAGTCCATGCTCTTCAAAATCAACGGCCAAAGTTTACAAATCAAATTTACTCCCAAAAAGAAGGAAGATAATTCACCTGCTCTATTATTCTATGTGCCTAGATACCTAGGGGCAATTTTGCTAAGAGACTCCATGGAAGCAGATAACTGATGAACTAACATCAGAAATTACTTTAAAAAAAAAGCATAAGTGGTTTTGTAACAAAAATTTGCTTGATAAAAATCCCCCAAAACATAGGTAAATTGACCTTGCAGTTTATTGAAAGAAAAGGCACAGAATTCA